TCTCTCTCTCTCTCTCTCTCTCTCTCTCTCTCTCTCTCTCTCTCTCTGCAGTTTGTGTCTCAGCCAAACTGCCAGCAGCTTCTGGCCACGCTGTGGTACGACGGCTTCCCGGGCTGGAGGAGACGACACTGGGTCGTCAAGCTGGTCACCTGCTTCATCATCGGACTCCTGTTTCCCTTCTTCTCACTGGTGAGGAGGGAGGAGGGAGGGATGGAGGGATGAAGGAGGAGTAGCTGGGTAAAGGTGAAGAAAATAGAAACGGGAACGAGGAGCGAAAACGAGGGGAAGTAAAGACTTTAAGAAAGTTTGTGAGAAAGGGAAGTGAGGAAAGGATGGAGCAAGAAAAGGAGTTGAGGGAGGAAGAGGAGAGAGGAAGGACAAAGAAAAGTTAAGACAAAAGATCCAAAAGAGAAGTGTTGGAAGAGTGAATGAATAGAAGAATGAAGGAAGCCTCCTGCAGCTGAACTGTTTCTGTCCTCAAAGTAAATTTGTTGCCGGGCAGCAATTAAACCAAACTCTTTTTTTATTGGCTGGAGGAGCCGTCGCTAGGAAACATCCGCATGACAACAACACTTGACCTAAAAAACAAACAGCGTTGTTGTTCTACTTTAAAAGAGGAGAAGAGCAGAAGGCAGACTCGTCATCACGGGGGATTCAGTATTTACATCGGTCAGCTTGACCTGCAGTAGATACTGAACACACTCACTGCTGAACTTTAGAGTTTCAGAGGAATAGAAACAGACGGAGATTAAAGTCTAAAGTCCTTTTCACACCTGACGAAAATCACACGAAAATGTGAAAGAACTTTTTTAATAAAATGTATTCTTTCAGTGAAATGTTCCCTCCGGTAAACAGCTAGTGATGTCTCTGGCTTTTATTGTGAAAGGTATGAACAGACAGAGTAGGTCTGGTCTGCGCTGCTTTTGTCAAAAGTTAAAAAGACTAATAAAGTTTGAAGTCTTGGTTCAGACAACAGGAGCCTCCGTGTTGTTGTACATATTATCTGCGTTACTTTTTCTTTTCACCTCTTGTACACACTGCAGCCCTCACAAATACACACGGTTACATGCAGTACACACTCAACTGGGACGGACTACTTCCTCATAACATGGCACCGTGCTAATATATATCTGCTGCGCAAAGGATTGTGGGTCAGAATAGCCAGAAAAGTGTGTGGATGTAGTAGAACATCCTGGTATTTTTTGCACACTTTGACACACTCAGTCTTTTTCTGGCGTACTTCATACTGTGTTATGTACTAACAGTGTGCGTTTGGAATCGGTTGTTTCAACACAACGTGATTGGTTGATGCCTTTATTTAAAAGCTCAGAAACATCTTCCTCTCTCTCTTTTTCGCTTCATAATATTTATTTGTGTGAGAAAGAACTCATGACAAAAACAATAGTTTGAAAAAATATATTGACGTGCAAATAATCTTAACACATCTTAAAGTTCTCTGGGTTTGTTGGAAAATGTCATTTTTTGTGTTTAGTCCAAGATCAAAGGTTAGTTTGCATCTTTTCGCCTCTCTCGTGGTGCGTTCAAGGACTCAGAAATAAAGCAGACTAAAGAGAGGACAAGACTTATTTAGATGTTATTGTTAACGTGAGATAATTCACATTCAATAATCTGAGTATTGCCTTAATGTGATTAAGTTATTAACGTTTTGATGATGTAAACGAACGTCTCTGTTATTCAAAGCCTCGCTGGCATGACTCAGAGACAGCTGAGGCTGCCAGCAGCGAGTAGACGAGCAGAACAAGTAAACAAGCAGCAGCAGCAACAACAGTAACAGCTTTGCAACAAGACGAGGTGGCGCCTGGCTGAGCGTGAACCCAACCAACACACCTTTTAGCGGCTCAGTTAGGACTCTGCCTCTTCTGTTTGTCTCTCTGATGTCTGTCTCTTCATCCTCTGTCCTCGTCCTCTCCTCAGATCTACCTGCTGGCTCCGAAGAGCGCTCTGGGCCGCTTCATCAAGAAGCCCTTCATCAAGTTCATCTGTCACACGGCGTCCTACCTGACCTTCCTCTTCCTCCTGCTGCTGGCCTCGCAGCACATCGCCCGGACCAACCTGCACATGCAGGGACCCCCACCCACCATCGTGGAGTGGATGATCCTCCCGTGGGTGGTGGGTACGTATCGCCGCCGTCGTCATTTAGAACTAATGGCGCTCCAACTAAGCGGAGAAAAGAAAGTTTCAGAGGTTTTTTTGTGATCAGACAGATGTCCTCCAGGAAAACCAAAAACAAAACCTTTCCTCGAGGCGACAGAGTTTAAACCAGGCGCCGAGTGAAGCCAATGAGGAAGTGTCTTAAAGCTGCATTCTCTCTAGTGACCACCAGGGGGCGACTCCTCTGG